TTCAATATTTTTAAAATTATTCTATCTTTACCTATAATACCCTCATCTTACTCATTTTAAAGATATTCTATTAAATAGAGAATTGTCATAAATTGGCTGTCAATTGTTATAATTTTTAGTTAAAAATACAAAGATAAAGAAATCTATCTCATTTTTATTATAATAATCGAAATTATTATTTGTTTTCTTTTAATGAAAATGCTATAAGTAAATGAAGCATATAATTAAATAAATTTTGAAAAAAAAAATATAATTTAAGTACGTATGTATGTATTTATTTAAATATCAACTAATTTTTTAATTGGATATAAGTATATCAGCTAATCACAATTTACTAAATTCCTACTTATATAACAAATTAAAATTTTATAGAAATTAATATGAGACTTTCACTATATAATATATATAAATTGAGTTTCTATACTTGAGAATATATATTTGCCATAATATATAAATGAATGAATCAAAACAATATATATAGGCATATTAATGAAGATTTAATTTTCATATATCCGAATACTGTTATACTGAATCAAATTTAAAGAAATTGAATCAATTCCTACAATAATTTATTAGATATTCAAAGACTTCCTAATATTCCCTTACTCAGACAGAAAAACCAAGTATTAAAATCAACAATAGAGAAAAAATTTGAATAAATTATATTAAAAAAATCAATTTGATTCTCAGACGAAACTGGAAAAACAAAAACTTCAAGGTACTCAATCAAATTTAAATCTAATTTGAGTAATTTTGAATTAAACTACTAATATGACAACAATCTTAATTATTTATTTATAATTAAATGACAGAACTGTCATATTTTATTTAATTTATTCTTTTATTATTTATTATACAATAAAAATTAATTGATAATTATATTTGATGTAGGTATACATATGCATGCATTTACATAATTTTTGTACCACAAATTAATTTTAATTCTAATTAATCTAAAATTTTATTTCGAAAAATTCGGCCTATACTAATTTATTATTAGGAATATTTTCATAATATTACTTTATAACTTTGAAATAATTATGTTCTAATATTTATATATACATACATATTATTTTATGTATATATATATGAGAATATATAACCTTATACAACCAGAACTTGAACTTCTTTCATTTTTTTAAAATATGAACGACTGGTTGCACTATATATATACGTACATATACACATTATATTGTAATAAAAAAAGCTACATATGTACATACATATATCAAAAAATTATATATTTTTTTGTGCATTTTAAATTAATATTAAATAACTTCTTCAAATATTTTTTTTTATATAACAACAAAAAAAAATTTCATCTTTTATTTATATAATTTATATATAATATACATAAAATATAACTTATATATATAACATAATATTATTTATATATATAACATAAAATATATATAATATATATATATTTGTGTATATATGTATATAAACAAAACAACAGTATATATAATATTATATACACATAATATTATATAATTTAATATTAAATGAATGTATTATAAATAATATAAAAAATATATATATATATATATAAACGCGTGTGTGTGTTTATGTTATATTTACAAAATATTAATTTTATATAAAAAAAAAATTGCCTATAAAAGATATTGTATTGTATGTTTGTGTGCATGTGAATATTATAATTAAATTTAATATATTAATATTAATGTATTATGTATATCAATATATATATATATATATATATATATATATGGTACATATTATTATGTATGTGCATTTGTATATAACTGTTATTATAACGTGTATTATAATATATGAAAATGTAATATAAAATAAATATTATGGAGCTGTACAGATCTGCCCTCCCCCCTCCACTCTACTCTTCCCAAACTTAAAAATTTTAAAACAATATTGGATTTTAAATTAAAAAATTAAATATATACATAATGTATATATACTAAAATAAAAATTTTATATTTTTTCTCTCTTATATTTTCTTTTTTCACATTATTTATTTTTTCAGATTCAGATTCGGATTTTTAATTCTGTTTCTAATTAATTTTATTTCATTGTTTTCTGATTTTGTGTTCTTAATTTTTCTATTTGAAATCAAAATATTAGCTATTATAAATATATATATATATATATATATATATAATTTAATCCCAGTTAGTACTTTTTAATTTAATAAATTTATCCTCGTATATAAATGCAAAACTTACTGCTTACAAATGATTGTTTTTAAATTTATTGTAGATTACTTAAAAATTAAATAAATAACAAACTTTATAATTAAAATAAATACAATGTTTTTTTAAAGCAAAAAAAATAACAATTTTATTATTATTTTATATAATAAATTTTGTTTTTTATTTTATTTTATATTTTTTTTTTATTATATTTTTTTTTGTTGTGTTACTACGATGATTTCTACTATTATACTATACGCACTACGTTTACAATTTAACAAACACAATATAAATAAAAATTAAGAAAAACAGAAAAGAAAATTAAAAAGAAAACTTTAAAAAAATAATAAAAAAAAAAACATACAAAAATCATAAAAACCGAACGAACATTCACCGATCGAAATACAAAAAAAAAATATATATGAAATTTTCGTTTTTCTTTTTTCAAAAGAAAAACTTCGATTTTCCTTTATTTATAATATTACATAAAATTTGTATATGTATACTCGTATATACCCTTGTGTTATTGTATATACTACATTATGAGGTATGTATTATATTGTATATAACAATTTATTATAACAATTTTTCTTTGTACACTAGTATACAAGGTACATGTATATGAAAATTGTCTATAAGGATATTATCGAAGTACAGGATGTATCGAAAAACAAATTTGTTTTTTTTTTTCAAAAAATATTACCTAATATGAAAAAATAATAATAAATTTAACAGGGCTCGTATATACATATATGCATACATGATAAATTTATATGGGTTAGGAAATTTATACATTACAATAATACACGGTGTCCGAAACTCAATAGTACTTCCGATGTAGGATAATAGAATGTCTTCATACTAATAAAAAGAACAGTCCTTCTTATGAGGCCGAGGATGAAGCCTCAAAATAGAAATTTCTAAAAGTAATCTAATTTTTCTATTTCTATTGATGCCTCGGGACATTTATAACATGTAAATTCAATTTTGTATACTCACTTTCAAGTTTATGAAACTCGCCTTTTTACAGTGTATCAGTGTTGACAAAGACTTTTGTTTAGTTTCACAGATATTTAAGTAAGTGCGAAGACAAAATTTTTAAAAAAATTTTCCTTTAATCATTTTTTACTCGTAAAAACACGTTACTAACTTAACGTTTGTTTTACAGCAGTAGTTACCTTGTATTGTGACTCTTATTTTAATATAACATAATATTGCAGAAGTCTCAAGAAAAATATGTCTATTAGGCAAAAACTTGGTAAACTCTCTAGGAGTTGAAAAATTTTATTAAATAAATTATAAAATATATAACAGTTTTTGCTTTCACTATACTATACAGTTGGCAAAACTTTGACACAGATGACATTCGTAGTTTAAATTAATTAAAAATAATTAAATTCGTTGAGACCATAGTAATAAACGGCTAATAAATTGAAAATCACTGAATATAAATTTTGTTGAGGCCGCGTATTTATAATTAGAATCAGAATATTGCAATTATTAAAAAATATTGTTTTTCATTTTTACCATACTATGTACACAGTATATTTAATAAATTACACACTTACATGCAAATGTATAAAATGTTATCCTTATAAATTTTTAACTTTATATGAACATAATATATAAGTATATGTATATGCATTTTGATAATAAAGTAAAAGTTTTATTATAAACATACACAAATATGTACAATATATGAGCTTTATGTACAAATATTATACATTATACGGTATTATAATATATTCAATATATATATATATATATATATTTATATTTTTGTGTATATATTTTTTGTTATAAAATATTCGTGTAAATTCCATAATAATAATACTAATAATATTTTCTTCCGAAATATTCTAAACACGAAGGTTATCAAAACGACAGGATTTAATTTAATACTGTATGAATATGTACCATATACATATAGAACATTTCCAAATATACAAGTGTATAACACTTTTAAAGAGCTTTTTATTCTTTATAGAGCATGTATATATAAAGAAAATATTATATAATATATAAAACTATATTATATAGCTATATTTCATTGCTACAAATTGATTTTTCTTTTCTGAATAAAAATTCTTTTATATATTGTACTAGATTTAATGCTTTTAGACTGAATATAAAGGATATTTTTGATATACGATAGAATATAAAGAATATTTTTGATACAATATTAAATTGTATCTTTGTGAAAATTTAATAATGCAATTTTCAATTTAATATTTTTGAATTTATGTTAGAATTCCAGAACAATAATAATATAAAATATTGTTTAAAGAATAAATACATCAAAAAATTACTACATTATTTACTAGAATCTCACAATAATTGACTTTAGATGCTTCTTTGGGTAGTAGTTCTTCTCGAGTTAAAACGAAATTTATTGTAAGATTAGACATATTGCAATTCTTTGAGTTCTGGCTATGATAATGTATCATTTTTAAATATTGTATATATTGTACAATTGTTACATCTCACACAAAATGCTAAATCATTTAAAAAACAATTATTTGCATATAATAATTTAGGTCTACTAAAACGAAAGTATGTATATCTGAAAATTTCCTCTTCAAATTTTACGTAAATATACAAATGTAGAACGAATTTGTATTATTGCAAAAATTTCTATGCTAATTAACTATCCGGTTCCACATTAATTAATTAAAATAATGTTTTACATAACTTATTTATCATCATTACTTAATTTATGGTAGTATTATATTGTATATATATTACTAATATTTATCTCTAAAGTTGTAAATTTAAGATAAAGAGTTTTGAAAATTAAAAAAAAATACAAATTTTTTATTTTCCACATACAATTTTTATTTTATTTTTTTCAATATCATTATTACAACACTATAAAACTAAAAATATAGTTTTAAAACTTATGTAAAAAAAAACTTTGGTTCTTTTTTTTTTATTCCTATAAGGATCTTTTTTTTATCCCTCTTTAAAGTTAAATCCGACAATAATTTATTATTATATAAGTGCTTTTTAATATTAACAGTTTTTCATAGTAAAAATATTTAATTTTTCTTAATTTTACATATTGTTAAGAATTAAAAATCGAAAAAATAAATTTAAATACTTTCATAACAAAATAACCTACAGCTTAAAAAATATATAGTTTAGAAGTTTAACAGCTTCGCAATTTGTTTTGTTAAAATGGCCTTGTTCATTTTTATAAAGAAAAGAAAAATATTATTAAAATAAGAAAAATTTGAAATGTTTTAAAATTCAATTGAAAAATTATGAACGAAAAAAATTTACATACAAATTTATGCATAATATTTTATGACTTAAAAACTAATTAAACAAAATCCATATTAGTTGCCAATAGAAAAAAAAAATAAAGCTAAAATAATTACATATACATATTAAAATTATTCAAAAAAAAAATTTTTTTTTATTGTTTAATATGATTGTTTACGAATGTGAAGTAAGATGTAACCTTTTTAAGAATAAATCGATCTAGAAGTGACGTTAATCATCTCTGTGGTGCTAAAAAAGAAGTTTTTATTAAATATTTTTTCTGAAATGTTAATATTGTTATTTAAAGAAAAGGTGTTGATATCTACCTTTTGCTACATTTTATGTGAATAAATAACAGAACTATTCCCAAAACTAAACACAAACAACCTACGACGATGTAAGCGATTCCCAAAAATGGATTTTTACCGCCAAGTAGAGAAGTGGTAGAAAGAATCATACGTTTTTTACCATCAAATTGCGTTACGGGATAACCTGGAATAAATATGTATATTATTTATTTTTAACCAATGAAATATTAAGTCGAAATGTTAGCTTACGGTATTTAACTGTAAGTGTATAATTCCCTTTTATTAAACCACTAGCAAAAACTTTACTACTACCCTGATGATTTACCCGTCTGTAAAGTTTTCTAAATGTTGGTAATGCAGCAGTTCTCATCCAAACAATAAAATCTTCATTCTAAAATAACAAATTAATCGTAATAAATATTTTAAAAATAGCAATTTTGTGTAATTTAATCCATATTTAAAATTTTAGGTTATGAAATAAAATTATATAAAATATAAATAAATTTACAACTTCCACCTGAATCGTTGTTATTACCTGAAAACCGTTATTATCTTCATCATTCTTATCCAACTCCCAAAGATTATTTTTCCAAGAGATGGGTTTTTCAAAGTTTGCTAACGCTAAAATTTAAATTTAGAAATAGTTTTATGAATGTTATTAAAAAAATTTAAAACAGTTTACCTTCTTTTAAATTAGGTGGATTTCTAAATTTAACATTCTTATCTGAAGGCCATGCTATGCCCTTATTGAGCAGTGGAACCTCACCATGCTCAGCATGTTTTATTTGTAATGTATCTAAAATATAAAAAATTTAACGTTAATTTCAAATTACAGATTAATAACTAAATTATTGTACCATTAAACAAAGAGTTTGCAATAGCTCCACATGGTGCAATATTTTTCCCATTCACTTTATCAAAAGGTGCACAATCTGAAGAAACTGTATCCGAAAGCCTTCCAAGTAATTGTTCGTCGTCTCTAGATTTTACGTATCGGCGATGATTTTGATAATAATTACTCAATCCATAGTACATATAAACATTTCCCTATTAATACAATATTGTATTAATATATAAATTTCTTATACATGAATATTATTGTTTAAATTACCAAAAAATCTTTATCTAAAACAAAAGGAATATCACAGGTACAATCATCTTTCCCTTGATTCTGTTGTAAAATTTGAGCACAACTAACACCAACATGATCCGAAGAATTACAATGCGTATAATCTATTATTTTTTCGCTTACTTGATCAGAAAAGTAAAGCAACGCTACACCTACAGGAATAAATGCAATTCCGATGATAAAAAATGTTGGCAAAACGGTTCCAGCTGAATAATAAAATTCCAAATTTTAATTATGGAACAGAAATTGGTTTTTCAATTAACTTACCTGTCAACACAGGTTGCCATGCTGGTAATCTTTGTTGTTTAAATGCAGAGTCTAGAAAAATACGGAGTAATATTTAATTATTTCAAGGAAAAATAAACATATGTGAATTATCTCAAGGGTTCAGAAATCGATAATTATTACTCACTCACCAATAGGTCGTTTTGACTTTGTTGGAACATCGGAACTTGTATTATTTTGCGTAGACATAGTAATTATATTAATTAAATTTGTTAAGATATTTTTATAATATTCCTGCAATTTCCAATAAATTTACAGCTTGTAAATTACCACATTTGATTTAATTTTGTTTTTCTGTACAGGTAGCAATTCATAATTCTCCAGTTGTAAATGACGTTTGAAAATGTTACAAAAAAAAATTGGATTTGTACTTGACAACTAATTTGTAAGTATTACTTTGTAACTAATATTGGAATCGGGAATTATTTTTATAAAATAAGAGCGACATCTAGTTCTTGTTTTATAAATACAGAAAGTTATTACAATTTTATTGCTAATAGATATTCTCTAATATATAGCTGGAATCTTGTGCAAGAAAGCCTCTAAAACTTATTTAAAAAATGTAAAGAGAACTCGCTTTTGGAAATAAAATTGAATTTTAAATTAGTTATCTGGTGAAAATATAAGCTTTATTTCTTGAATGTGTTTTTTATTATTAAATATTAATTTTTTGACAAGTTGTTGTTTTGTCTTTTTGACATATTGTTTAAATCAAAGATTATTACTTTTTTTACATAGGATTTGTTTCTATAATTTTATTTATGTGCAGTGTTTCTGTAATGTTTTTTATTCACCACTGTACAGGAGAATGTGACTATTCCTGAAAGTAAAAATTGGCAATTGTACTGCCAAATTTACATTTGACAAAAATTACAAATTTTTCGTATTGTGTATTTTGTTTTTCCCAAAAATAAACCAAATTAACCATTGATTTTTTTGAAAAATTAATAATTTTTAATATTTAGTTTTTCAGAAATTATAATATACAGGGTTGATGGAAATTGAAATTACATAATCAGGCTGTTAACATTTATTTTTATGACGTTTTCTATGACACGCAGCAGTCAGTGTTACCTTTTAATTTTTTTTTTACAAAACTCGACAAGTCTTGGTAGCGGTTGTTTAAATATGCACAAAACATCTGATAATGCAGCATTATGATATTGTAGATTTTTAAAATTCGAATCTAATTCTTTCTGAATTATAATGTCTGAATATTTTAGACAAACTTAGAAGGTGAAATTATATGAAATAATAATGAATGAATAGTTTTATTCACGATATGCCTAGCAGATGCATATTTAGGAAAGAAATGTAAGGTCGCCTGTGTAAAGTGACAATTCTAGATGATGCGTATGAGTTCATTTTATTGTGTGATGTTTAGTTATTTTACAATAGATAATGTCATGTAATCGTTTAGAGAAAATGTGTAGGAATTCCATATTGTACTCGTAAAAAAATAAATTTTAGTAAAAATTTAATATATGTACAATTATTAATTTTTAATTTTTAAAATAAAAATTAATTTCATATTGAATACCATAAAAATATTAAAGCATTTGCTTTTTAACTATGTCCACAATATATAATTAATGACGCATTCCTTTATGTGAAATGATTACATTCGTGACTCAGACATAAATATATAAAATACTTTTGTAGGTACACAATTTTACTCAATTTTATCGTCCTCAAAACGACATCTCCTCAGTGGGTAGTTGAAGTTGACTGATTTGGTAACTGAAATAAAAGTTTTTTTTTTGTTTCATTAAAAGCAAATTAAAAATTATTTCAAGTAATCTTAAAAAGTTGTAATATTACTCAATAAAAGTTCATTTTTATGTTAACAAGCTACTCTTGAAGCTAAGTGTTATAATTTGTACAGATATGAAATAATTAAAGAAGGCGAAATAATGCTATCTGTCAGTTTTAAATGTACCAAAATTGAAATTTACGTAAATTATAAAATCTTTAAAGTTTAAGTTTCTTAGATTTAATTACTAATCAATATAAGGTGAATTTTAATCTAAAAACAATCTGCAGTTATAATTATATATGCAAATCACTTGCAAACAAATCAAAAAATCGACTGCATTAATCTACGGCCTCTGTTAAAAGTGACGGTCGCCATTGCAAAAGTGAACATAGACATCAATTGACAAATTTTAAGATACATACCTCTAACGCGAGAAATATCAGCATTCATTTCAAAATTGCTCCGCCTGTACCTGGCGTGCAAATTGAAAATTAATAAATTTTAATACTAAAGGATTTTTAATGTATTGCTGACAAAAAATAGACTATTAAAAGAATATTTAAAAAAAATAATTGATTTGAAATGGTATTAGCAGAGAGACATGCAGAGTTATTAAGGAATGGTAGAAGATCTAGGGGACCCAGTCCAAATGGCCACAATGGAGGGTCACCCGATACTAGTTCAGATGAAGACAATTGTAAAGATCTTTATTTATTCTTTTTATTTAAATCTAAATGTTCATTTTCAATTTGCAGCTATTAAAAGAAATGGGAAAACAAAAGCAAAACAAAGCGAATATGAAGGTAAACTATAAATGTTTTTATCATAGACATTTTTTTATAAAAATAAAAGAAAAACCATTAATGCAAGGAGTCAAATATCTAAATTTTTATATTTTACAGAAAAAATTAGAGTGGGAAGGGATTACCAAGCCGTATGTCCAGAACTAATACCTGTTGTTGATAGGAAACCAGAATTATTAAATGACAGGGCGTTGCTGGTTTGGTCGCCAACGAAAGATATTCCTGATTGCAAATGTAAGAATTTAAATATTATTTCGGAATTGCATTTGATATCTTTATTATAATCGATTTCTAATTAAATTATGTACATCATACATTTCACACACAATATACAAGTAAATTAAAAAAAAACTATTGCTTTTCATATTACATAATGAACTTTGTAGAAAAGCAAGAAAAAGCTATGGCTATATTTAATATTCATATAGATAGTTGTTTTTTTAACAACTTTCCATATATTCAAAGTTTTTTTTTTTTTTACTTGCGGCTGGTAAATTTTTAAAGTAGATCACATTATTTTCAACTCCCTAATATTTTTTCTTTTCATTCAATTTCTAGTGGAAGAATATATATCAGTGGCAAAAGAAAAATATGGCTATAATGGTGAACAAGCATTAGGCATGCTATTTTGGCATAAGCACGATTTAGAAAGAGCTGTAATGGACTTAGCAAATTTTACCCCTTTCCCAGATGAATGGACTGTTGAAGATAAAGTGCTATTTGAACAAGCTTTTCAGTTCCACGGAAAAAGTTTTCACAGAATTAGACAAATGGTAAACAGGAATAACTTTGTTATAAAAATAAAGACTTTATTTTTATATATCTTTATTATTTTTTTTTTTTTTTGTATTTTAGTTACCTGACAAATCAATAGCAAGTCTAGTTAAGTACTATTATTCGTGGAAAAAAACTCGACACCGCCAAAGTGTAATGGACCGTCAAGAAAAAGCCAAAGCTAGCAAAGATGGTTCAGAAAATGGTAGTGAAAATGGCAGCAACGAAGAATCTGAGAATGATGACAAGGTAATTGTCTTAGACTGATACGTTTCCTTTTTATGTATTTATTGACTAAACACGTGAAGTAAAAAAAAAAAAACTAGCACTCATGCGGATTATAGCTATAATATTTTAAAAGTAAATTAGAAGTAAAATTAATGTTAGATATTATTATAATATTATAATATTAAAGAACATACAATCAATGCAGAAATTTAACAAAAAATTAAGTTTTATATATAAAAGTATATATTTTTTATGTTAGTCAAATTAATTTCTTTTTTAATAAATTATGTGTGCAAGTTGATATCTATATAAAGAAAGAAATAATACATTTTATACAAAAACATTGTGTACGTATCCTCATTTCATTCATACTTTTAATTTAGATTTACGCTTATTTTCTTGGGTTAATGTATTTATTTTTAACATTTTTGTTTCTTTATTAATTTTTTTTTACATATACATATATACATATACATTTTTTTATTATTTCATGTTAAAATTTTCCTTTTCATACATCACCAGTTTGAAATAATATAAGTGTTACTGTAAATAGATATTTGACATGAAACTTAAATTGCACATTTGTTAACAATTTAAGTAAATGAGACTGGAAAAAGAAGAATTAAATCTGTGAATATCTGACATATTAACACTGATATCATCTTGATTGATAGAAAATACGTTCGGTAAAATTTACGGCGTGACGGTGGAGAGTAAATAAATGATTATCCTGTTTTGAAGTTGAAAATTTCTTCAACTTTAACTCGGGTACAACTTTAATTAGTCGGGTTTAAAAACTGCCCACACAATTTGATAAAAAGAAATTAATTGATCAAACTAATGGATATTGTTTCATGAGGGAAAATTCTGAAATATTTCAATTTTTATTTTTATATTCTGTCTTAATCAGTAATGAAAACATTAATTTTAACTACGATATTTTTGAATATCCATGAAATAAAATATTGTAGAATAACACATATCCTTTTAATTAATAATTATTAGGAGCAAACAACTACATCTCCTGCGACATTACAAGATTCTAAAGCTACAACAAGCGGAAGTAGCAATAATATAAATGTTGGGGGGAATGTCACATCAATTGGTAATGTGATTTACGGTAATAACACCATAGAGACAAGTCGTAATACAAATAACTCGAAAAAGCAGCAATTACCACAATCTGTTAATAACCAACAAGGGCAGATTCTTAATACTTTAAGTACAGAACAAGAAAATGCTAGTAGTGAGACTTTAAATAACGCAAACATTATAAAGGAAGGCTGTTGCACTGGTTGCGGAGTTTCTTGTAATATCTTAACAGCAACTTTGCAAGGCAAATTGTGCAACAGTTGCCATCATCATTGGAGGTATTAGATCGGTTAATAAAATCTGAATTATATAAGTAGTTTTTTGCAATTTTTAGTGTTAATTGTTTAATTTTTTTTTCTTTAAATTTTTTTTTTTATTTTTTAGAAGTCAATCTTCTAAATTAAAGAATAATTTTTAATTTTATTCTTGATTTCCAAAATTACTAACTTGCAAACGATTGCTTAAAACTACATATAGAATTTTGTTAAATTATAAGACGTTGCGAATGAGAATTTTTAAATTTTGTTTATTTTACTACTTTGTAAACTAGACGAACTGGAAACAAACGTCCAACAACTGGCCCGTATTTTAAAAGGTTACGCGATCGTTCCGATAGACAAAAACGTAAACCACCACGTGGTATGCATATTAATCATGATGATATCGTAGCCTTAGCGAGTTCCAATAACAATCAAGATGAATTGCTTTCAAATACTGAAAGGGAAATCGTTTCATTATTGAGTCAAGTAAGATTAATTATTCATAAAACCATTAACCATAAATTTCATAATATGAATTATAAAACAACTATATGTGTTAGATTTTCTTAAGATAACTTTTCACATACATATATACACAAAAACATATATATATATTTTTTCTTTGCATTATTCTTTTTTGTATGGAGAACAGAAAAATGTGATTGACTTTTAATTAAATTTTGTTTTCATGGTTTTTGATTCTTTTCATTTTATTGGCAATATGTTAAGTCTAAAATTAATGTACACTGTTAATCAGTTCACATTTAAATTCAACCAATAAAAATCTAATTTTCTTTTGGTTGTGAATTATTGCTTCTTAGGTTCAACAAAACAAACAAGCAATTTCGTCTTTAAAAAGAAAAATTTCTGAAAGCTGTGAAGATTTGCGTCCAATTGAACAACCAAATCGTATTAATTCAAGATGGAGTAATGAAGAATTATCAATGGCTGTACATGGTGTAAAGAAGTTTGGGAAAGATTTTCAAGTAAGAATAAACTTTCCCTTACCTTATTATTTTTTTAATTTTTATGTCATTATTCATTATTATTTCCCGAGCTTAGTTCTGTGTCACCTTTCGTAATCTATTAGAACAAAAAAAATTAAGTTTTATTAAAAAAAATTGCATTAATTTCATAAAATAACAACTTGTGTAGGATTGAAAAGTTAAAGTTAAAGAAGCTCAGAAAAATGCATTTTTTTTTCGAATAATTTAAAAGAAAAAAGTTTAGATTACGCTTTGGTGGCTTATAATAATATTACAAAATATTTAAAAAAAATATTCCTTTACCATAATCAAATAGGCTATTGCTGAAATGCTTGGTACTAAAACAGAAGCACATGTTCGTACATTTTTCGTCAATTATCGCAGGCGATATAATTTAGATAATGTCCTTAAAGAATTCGAAGCCGAACGTACCACAAATCAAACTTCAGAAGAAGAAAAACCACAAGATGCTATAAATTCTGATGAAAAAATGTCAGAAAAAGATATAACAGAAAGTAAAGAAGAAAAGAAAGATGATGAAATTCTTCTTCAAAAAAATAATATAGAAGAAATTGAGGACAAAAATATAGCATTATTATCTAATAACACGGTTACAAATGAAGAGTTTAGCAATATTAATGATACTACAATTGATATAACAGTTCCGGAAAAAACTGATATAACACCTCAAATTAATTCATCAGAAAATATTATTATGGAGGTGAAATAGCTGATTAAATTTTTTCTTTTCTTTTTAATATTTTCCAAATGAAAATCATACAAATATAAATCGTATTTTTAATATTTTAGATTGATTTGGATAGTGAGGCAAGTGAATCATCATCCCCAATTAAAAAAATCAAAGCATCTGAAACAACGCCAACACAAATTAAGCTATAATTTGAATAAATCTTTAAAAGTCTTTGAAGATAAAAATAGAAAACAAAGAAAACAAATTATCACTACTCCAATTTTTAATTAGTTTACGTGAGTTTTTCATTCTATCGTATAATAAATACATAATTATAATTAAAAAATTTTGAATCGTAAGAAATTAATGCGCGAGTGTATTAAGCTAAGTGAGGAACTTTAAAATATTTTCAGTTTTATTTCTCTTTTTATTTTTATTTTTTTTTTCTATCCAATATTAGTGTTCATTTATTGTATTGCGTTTAATTTTATATATTGTAGTCCTAAATGAGTTTTAAATTTGAGCATAATAAATTTTTTATATATTCTGATAATAATTACTAGAGTTATTAATACATTAATTAATATTTAATTTAATTTGGATATGTGTAACATGTCCAAAATGTCCAATTTATTTTAACATTATTTAGATATTCAAAATACAAGAAAATAATAATTCGAGAACTGTACATGTATAGATTTAACAACCTAATGCCATACAGAAATTAATTCAAAATAATGATAATTTATATTCTTAGTTGTAGAAATATTTCTTTAAATTATATAATATAATCTTATATAATCTTTAATTATATATGATAGGATGAGTTCGTGTTCACAGCAAATATGTTTTAAATACATTGTTATAACCTTGTTTAATACATCGTTTAATACGTTGTTTAATAGATATTGGATTAATTCCGGAATTACAACTGGTAATCTGAATTAAATATCAATTCAGGAAAATTTTATATATCATATACTTTATGAGAGCAATTAAAATGTTTTGGATGCGCTACAAAATCTATTTACTGCACAATCCAAATGTGAAAAATACATTAGTTAGAAACGTTATACATTTTTACATATTGTTAGACAATATATCAAATATTAATAGAACTGCAAAACCGAACTCAAAAATACTCAGAAATTATATTTCAAATTTAAGCCATATTTTCCATGTTTAATTTTCTTGGTTAGGTATGTAACATGTCAGCGCATATAACCCGTTTTTCGTTTTTATGCACATACATTCATACAAAAGAAAATTTCTTAAAAAAATAATTAAATTAAAATTAAATTCTACAGCATAATTAAAATAAAAGACAACCCTCTATTATTACATAAAATATTGGCAAATAATTAAATATTTAAAAATGTTAAAATATCCAATCGTTAAAATTCAACGAAAAATTATAAAAACTTTTATTTTTTAACAGAATAATGTTAGAATAAAATAAAATACTTACAATTATTATTTTTTCTTGTAATCACATTATTTTAGAAAACAAAAACATAGTATTTTAAGGTAATAATTTAAATAAAATTATAAAAAAAAAATCTTAAGAAAAAGAAGTTTTTCTTGGAATTTAGTTTGGTTGCAAAATCTTTAGAAACCATCAACATTTTTTTTGTAATTTTGTATGAATTCTTATATTAAATGTTGCTGTTAAGTTTAACAATTGAATTGTACAGAAGGAACGGGAGTCTAAAATTACAAATAACAATTACAGAATTTAAGGGTTTTGGGTGTTTTAAAAGACTAAAAAAAAATTAAATACTTTGAACAGCTTTTGGAAATTCGCCAAATTCAAGCATTGATTGACAATAAGTTTATTTTGAACAACTTGTTAACCTGAAAGAATTTTTTTAATACTTTTTAATATTTTTTTTAATAACTTTGTTTTGTTCTTTTAAAATTTTTAATTACAAGTTTACGTTAAATTTTTTTTTTAAGGTAGCACATTGGGAACTTGGAACACATTTTTCTGTTTCTTATCGAATCCACTGTTAAAGAGTAAAATTTTAGAATGCTGTATAAGTCGATTTTATAATTGAATTTTTGAAAATATGAAAATTTTCGAGTTTGTCAATTATTATACCATAATTTTCATCATAAAATACTAATTAAATAAAAAGTTTATAAAAATAAGTCAAGTCAATAAGTGAGAGCAATGTGATGAATAAAGTTAAAAGCCCATTCTGTGCACTTATATATTTTATCGACGCTGTATAAAAATTAAAGGCTAGACAACTTCCTTAATATTAAAACATGTAGTATTGTTATACTATTTTGCGATTGCAACTCTGATATAAGCGGAAATGTATATTAATAATGTAATATTAATATTTTGCTGGGGCTAATTTTTAAAAAATTGTCGTTCAAAGGAGAAAATCCAATTGCCATAAAATTATTAAAACAAAATATTCAAATATTAGTTTTTATTTCAAATAACTTTTTAGTATTTTACAACACATAAGATTACTTTCATCTTTTTTTTTATTTTAGAATTACTTATAATTAGATTTATTCTATTTAATTGATTTTAATATTATTTATTATATCTGATATGAAAGATACTATACCATAATTATTTCTTGCATCTTTTTTATATACAAAAATTTTAATTTTTTTTTTACTTTATTAATTTTTTCTTTTCTTTTAACAGATAGATTTTTTAAATACATTTTTTTTTTAAATTTTAAATTTTTTGTTTTTTTTTTTTTTTTTTTACTCCTATCTTTCTACTTATTTATTTATATTTTTATGTATTTTATATACATATAATATTTACAAAATTTTTTTTACTCAAAACTTCCTTAATATTATTAATTTTGTTTAAACAGTGTTTTTGATAAGTATAAGAATACTTATTGTACATGAAAAGTACAAGAATGATGTAGCTCGCTATACAAATATAGAATCTTTGTATGAATTTCAGACAAAATTTAAAAGCAATATTTAATCGAACTTTCGGAAGGAATTTCAAATTTTTTCAATTATAATGCACACAAAAATTAATAATATGCGGTTGCTAGTACATTATTACATTTACTATATTGATATATAAAGGGAATGTATTATGTACTTATCAGGACTTAAGGGATATTGGAAATTTTGAAGTATTAAATATTTATTAAGATTGGAATCTAAAACTAATTTAGGCTTGAGGGCTAAGAAATCAAATTCAACATGCATGTACGCTTAATGCACAGTGGTATTTTTTTTTTTAAATTTTAATTTGAAATTTATAAAAGAGGTAAGTTTATCAATTTACATAAATTATATTTAAGTGAATACCTAAATCTTGCCCATTTTTTTATTGTAAACATTCATTTTTTATATTTTGAGTTCCATATTGCAATAACACGTATTTCAAATCAAAAATATGTTTTTGAATTCGAATAAGTTATAAACTTATTAATAGAGCACAAATACTATATTGTGTTATACTGTATTATGGAATTCAAAAATTATTTACTTGCCTTTTGCATAACGTGTAGTTAGGATAAATTTAGAAGAAAAAATATAATTATTATGCGAATTGTTTGGGTAAAATTAAGTGAAGTGCCTTAAGAAAATTGAAATCCAATGGAAATTGTAATATATAGTTATAAAAAGCTGATTATACTCGTACTCTTTTCAATAAGATCTATTTTTATTAAAAACTTTCCTTCATTTTAATATTTTACTACAAATATTATTGTATTATTTGGGAATGAAAATAATATTAAATTGAAAATACAATATGAAGTTAACAAAAGAAAAAAAAAAGAGTTAATGCTATAAATATTTTAATATATTTTATTGCATTTTATGTATGTAATTATTTAAATTACATTTTCAAAATTTTAATATGTAAGAAATTTATTCAAGCAGTCATGATTTATAAATTGAAGTAATATTGTTTTGCAAATTGTGGAATTAAAAACTTATTTTCAATTGAAATTTAATTAAACCATTAAAATTGAAATATTTAAAGATCAAATTGAATTTAGATTTTGAATAGACGTTCAATTCAAATAGCTGTCCGTGACATCGAAAATACAATAATAATTTAAAAGCTCGACAATTAATAAACTGAATTCTGTAATACTGCACATACTGCAGTTTTGAAGACTTACGAAATTTTACAACAATTTGGATGCGAGGAAGCTTCGTATTTAATTTATGTATTACTTCAATAAACAATTTGGTATTTTAATAATAAATATATAATATAATATAACCACCATTAAATAAAAAATTTCTACCATATTAAAATTTTAAAAGATTGTAAAAAATTTCTGTTTTCTTTTTCATTAATTAAGTTTTTTTATTAATATTATTTCATTATATTTATTTATAAATTGGAAAAAAATTGAAATAAAAAATATTAAACAATATTAAATTATTTACATTTTTTTCTTGGGATGAGTTTCGGATAATATTATACAATAAATCTTATATAATATAGTAAAATTTATTTAATTATTAAACAGAAATTTTTATTAGTAAATTAATGTGTTTCTTAATATTTTTTGCAATAAATATTTAACAAAATTATATAAAATTAATAAAAATGACTAGATATTTTTCTTTTAATTATAATTCTTAAAAAAATAAACTGGAGATACATATACATATATAGGAACTTAAACCATATAGTTTATTTAAACTAAACTTATTGCATAAAATAAGAGCATTTATCTAAATACAAACTAATCTTGTGTTTTATATTGTATTTTTTTAAGCTCAATTCAGCTTAATAAATTGTATTGATATCTTGTTACAAAATTGAAAATTATCTGTAGTACTCGTATGTATACATTTTTTTTTGCTGAATAAGTCAAGATATATATATTTGCATTTTGACAAACACCCCCTAATTCTATAATAAATTTTTATGACTTTAAATATGCAGTAATACAATATTCCTCACAATTCGGCAATTACAACTCATAAACTGAATTCTGTACTAATATCACATTACCGTAATTTTAAAGTTTGAATTTATTAAATAAATTAATGTATAAAAAATAGTTGTTCTTTTTTTAATTTATAACATGCTACTATAATTGCAATAAAATTTAATATAATCATCATCTTAGAATATTCTCAAATTTCGTTAATTATATATACATATATATATAATTAAATAAATTCTAATATTTCCGTAAATTATATATAAATTTCACATTATTTTTACAAGGAAAAATTTCTGTTTAAACCTTAACTTATTTATATTGACACTTAAATTAAAATTAAAAAAAAAACTTAAAATTTTTAATATATAAAAAAAAAATTAAACAAAACGAATAAAGAAATTTATAACATAAAGTCATCCCAAGCCTTTGATTATGTTTGATATTGCAGCATCGGTGCCGATAAATTTGGATGATGTGAACTGTTCATTCGTAAAGCAGACAGACTTTTATTGTACCATTCATCTTCAGCTGACATACCTAAAATAAATTTAACAATTTATTTGTAAATTGAAACAAGAGCATTTGTTAGTATTTTAAAAAAAATTTTTAGTTTCGAGTGCTAATAACAATGCCAACTTATTCAACAGCAGCGAAAATTAAAAATTCATTTGAAAAAGGTTGACAAATTTTATTTAAATAATTTTTTAGTTAATTTGACATTAAAAAGTCAATTGGATAATATAATCAAGCTTTATTTTATTCTGACGTATTAAATTCATATTGAAACTTTGACATATCAATTTTATATTGACCGTTGTTGTCAAAACTAATATTAAAAAAATTATTCAATTAAAAAGATATGCCCTCTGACGTGACGAAAATTAAAAAAGAGCTTAGTCAAATTTTAATTTGCAATCAACTGATTTTGCCATTTCGTTGCGTATTGCAATTTTGAATTCATGGAATAAGCATTTTTTATTTTTTATTTTTAATTTAAGTCTACATTAATATATGTAAGACATTTCCGAGAATATATAAGTATATACACATGTACTACATACGTATATTATTTGAAACTAGAGTTTAATTTAGGCCCTAATATAATTGACAATATAAAAATCTAATTAAAACACCTAAAATCAAGAAAATTTTAAATTAAAAAGCGGAAATTAAATACTTTAGTAATTTTATACATATGCATATGTATGTGCATACATATGTATACATATTTATAAAAACATCTTAAAAAAATTTTTAATTTTTTTTTTTAATTCAAAAATCTTAAGACGTTTCGTTCAAATATAAGAAAATTTCTTAATTTCCGTTCTTTTCCTTACAACCTTATTTCGCATTATTTTAACTAAGAAATATGTGTGTTAATTTATTTTAAGCGAATGTACATACATATGTACATATATATACATATAGATATTTTAATGAAACAAGTTTAAATGTATTTAAATGAAAATATACTTGTATACAAGTATTTAATGAAAATAAAGTAATAACACACTTAGTATAACATTATAATTGTATAATATCCTATTATAGGCAAGTAAGTCATTTCGATTCTAATTTTATAAGAGAACTATTCTAAGCTTATTATATACAATAATATTTATGTATAGTGCCCCATATATAGGTGCATTAATTGCTAATTACCCATTGAATCCTGACGTACACCAACAGAACCCATATTTGCACCATGAGTCATTGAAAATGGTTGTGTCATACCAGGATATGATGTAGCACCCATTTGGAAAAGATCCTGGAATAGATAAAAAGAATTTTCCACCTAAAAAATGAGATTTTAATAATATGGGATGCAACACCTATAATAATTATATAGTCATACATATATATTGATATATATATATTATGTATATATAATTATTGTAATTATATATAATTGATATTCATTTATAAATGTACGTATACATGTATTATATATATATGTATATACGATAATTAAATACAAAAATATAAAATTCTAAATAAAAAAATATTTAGTATAGTTTAAAATAATTCAATAGTTTTTAGACACTATATATATAATATTTTTTGTATAACACTTTTTTTTTATAAAATTTCGGAAATAACACATTTAATTAAATATAATTTAATAAAAATATATAAATATTCAAAAATTTTATATTCAAAATTTGTATATAAAAAAAAAAATATATGAATTACGCGTATGTATAATGTATTGAAATTACCTGTGGATATCGATTTATTGAATTTGGATGAGGATATGGTTGATAACCTCTTGATACACTATATCCTTGTATATTTCTCATCATTCCATTACATGAGGGAATCACAGACGGTGCTAATGCTTTTTGTAATTGTTTTTCCTGTTTTCTGTATTTTGCTCTACGATTTTGAAACCATACCTAAAGTATTATTTATTTATGATATATATATCAGAAATTATTATTATTATATTTTTCATTTAAATATATTGCATATTATAAAATTTTTAAATTCTAAAATTAGATATTATAGTTTTTTTTAAACATATACAAAAGTATTGGTACACAAATTAATGAAACCCCTGGAATATCGTAAATTTTGAACTCAAGAATTCAATACTTTTATTTAGTTTTTTGCATAAATACTAAATGTATCTAATGCAATTATATATAGTATATTAAATTAAATATAAATGCTTGTTGCAGGACTCATTCATTTCTTTTATTATATAATAAATTCTCACTCAAACAAGAAAATGTCGTTTCTGACGTTTTGGGCACTTAATGATGTTTCATGTGTATATAAGAATTGCGATTTGTTAAGAGTTAAGACTGACATGAAAAAGTTGCTTTACTCTCGGAAAATATCATTTCATCAATAATTTGTGAGATTTGTCCGGGATACCGCACAAAAGTCACAAATTAAAAACCTTATATTATGAATTCAAATTTCATTTTTTTAACTTATAATATTGAAAATAATCAATATATTTATAATATATTAAAAAAAATGTTATATTTTTTATATGAAACTGTTATATTTTGATGTGAAACTGTTATATTTGTTTGTGTTTTTTTATATTTGTAAATGTACTCAAAATCTCAATTATGTCATTAATATTTCTTAATTTATTCATTATAGTACTCGTATATACCACAGTTAATTTACTCATTTTAGTAAAATGAGACGAATGTAGAAATTTGAAATTTTTTAAAATTTAAAGAATTAGTAATTGTTATAAAATTAAAATTTTCGTTTATAAGAAAAAATTCAAAATTAGATATAAATATATGTATATAGGTAGGTATACAATATTATATTTATGCCGGCAGACGGCTCTTCAAATTGACTTTGAAAAATTACTAATACCACACACATAAATAAGATATACGCGTAAGGGAGGAATGTAGCAAGAGCATTACGTTTTGTATTATTCGCTTGACAGATGACCAGAATATATGAAATTTAATTAATGAGTGATGACACGTTATTTTTAACAATACTAAATTCAATTATAAAGTGTAAAGAGCGATTTTGTATATAGAGTGTAAACTAATGAAAAACAGTAAATAAATTGGTTTATTTTGTATTGGTAATATTTGCTAATAAAACTATAGCAATTTATGGGCATACAAATACATATATATATATATATATATATATACATATATTTGGATATTTTTAATCTTAAAGTAAATGAAATAATTTCAATAATTTTTAAAAAAAAGTATTGCTATTTCATATATTCCACAATTTTTTTTTTCAATTTGAATCTTCAAAATTATTTCATATATTACAATATAACTTATATATATACATATATATGAGTTTTATATATATATATATATATATATATATACATATATTAGCAGTTATATAAAAAAAATATAAATCTCTAGCAGAAACAGAACAGAAGAAAAAAAAAATACTTGAGAAAGAATTAGAATGAGAACAAAACTCTAACAGAATATTAAGGTTTTCAATAAGTAACTGTAAAGCACATGCAATCCAAAAATGAGTTTTCTTATGTTCTCCTTTTCTTTTTCTTCTTTTAAATTTTGATGTGTTTATATTTCTTGTTTTTTTTTTTTTTAATCCTCTCATTCCGTTACGGACGTGACAGAATACGGCCAAGTTAAAATGTCTTAAGAAGTTTTTGAAGGATTTCTTTTTTCATATATACTAAGTATACGTAAAAAATTATATTATATAGGTATTTATTTATATATATATATATCCTTATAAATGTGCAGTGATAATTTACTTATAGAAAAATACCAATATAAGAAAAAAAAATAATCAGGATTGATTAACCTTTTTCCTTTCATTTCTGTTATATTATGCCCTCTTCATTACTTTAATCTCTAAACTTATATATGTATATGAAATCGCGAATATTTTAATTAGATAACAAAAAATTTTAATTATAAAGTGAAAAATAATTTAAAAATTTTTCGAAAAGTTTTTCAAAATAGTGCGTTAAAGTTAAAGAATTTAAAGACCAATAATAATTTTATATGTAAAAATTTTTTTGAGTTTTTCACAAATTTTAATAACATTTGAGTGCAGTGTTAAGAACAGCATTACACAATGGAAATAAAATATTGTCACTTTAAAAACAACGCCTATATATCGCGAGACAACACGAGACCAGTTTTTTTTACTACTACTTATTTTTATTCAAGTTTTATAATATTAAAAGTCTATTATAAAAATTCAACAAATTTTAATAAAAAAAAATTATTTATGTTACGAAAAATCGAGCCTTCTGTACTACCGATTCACAAACCTTCAGCCACAATATAGATATATTCATAATTACAACTCTCACTATTACAGTCAAAAAAAAAAGAGGTCAATATATAACGACACTTGCCCTCTCAGCGCAAATTTCCACTCAATAATTTTCGAATAACATTTTCTGACCAATCAAAAATTTTAATTTTACTAACAAAACTAAATCATTCATTCAATTGTCCACTCAATTTTTTGAAATAAGAAAACAAAATTTAATATTTGACTGTAAGCTGAAGCGAAAACACACACAAACTCTTACTTACAAACATACGTTTATAAATTTGTTACATCTCAGTCAACATTTTTTATTTAACAAAAAATAAAATAAATTAAATCGTCTGATCTTCGGAGTGCGTGTTTAATATTATATTCTTAATTTGTGTCAAAAAAACCCGACTGTCCGAACATTGATTAGAAATCCGCTTTCATAATTGTTTATATCAGATCACTATCCGACATACTTCATTATATAATTTATATATTTTCAGAGTAAAACAATGATGGCCCCCATTTATGAAAATATTAGCTATCACTGAACGAAATATGATGTCAAAAAACTTGTTTGAAAAGTGAAATAAAAAAAAATTTTTTTCTTACTCGAAAAAGTAAGAATAAGAAAAAAAATCTAAGACTTTTTCCTTCATTTTTTTTTTATTTTATTATTTTCATATTTTTCTTTTTTGTTCAATTTCATTTATTTTTTCTTCATGTTATTACTTTCCCTCCTTAAATGAAATAAAAAAATTTTATATATATATTTGTATATACTATATATATATATATATATATATAGATATATATGAAGATTTAAGGGAATAGAGTGTATATGTATGTGCCATCAAATGGATCCATAATTGAATTACTCCGCCCATATAACATAATGTCTTCGTCGTCGTCATCATCATTGTCGTTGTCTTCTTCGAATCTTAAATCATCCTTCATCGTTTAAAAAAGAGAAAAATGTATAAGAAAAGAAAATATCAAAATGTCAGATAAAATATATATAGATGAATGTATAAATGTGGCACTTTTTCATCATTCGCATAATATATATAATATGAAGGATCGCGAGAAATTCTTTTTAAAGATTCAAATAAATATTATGTGTATATACAGTGTATATGTGTATATATATGTGCTTATAGTTGAAAATAATATAAAAATTATTTTGAAGATTTTAAAAAATTCTTCGGTACACAGTTAACTTAATGTCTTTGCTAGTTAATTTTTTTTTTTTTCGTATAAAACTTTTTTCTTATATTTTCCGTCTTTAAAGAAATTTTATGAAAAAAAAAAATTTTTTTTTTTTTGGAGTGGTTCGTTGCTTATGGCTGAAATTGGATGAAGAATCTCGAATATATAATTATAAGAAATCTATATATCATTAAACAAGTGTGTACATATAGATTATACTTATACAAAGAATTGAAAAAGTTTATACATAAATCCATGTTTGCGTTTATATTGAATTTTATATGCTTCTATTTAATGAGGAGGATTAAAATAAACTAATGAATAATATATAAGATTTTCATCCAATCATGTATGGAATGCATTTAGATTCATTTGTTATTGTTAAGCAAAACTGGGTCTTATTTGTTGTAATGCAGATCCTGGCTTTCTAAATTGTAAGTAATATGATATGAAATATAATAATATACAAAATATTCAGCAATTACAACCCTGAATTACAAGGCTGAATTATGTAGGCATTTATAAATACGTAACACGTAGTATTTATGCTGTAATTTCTAAATTACTGCCAACAATAACAAGGGAAACCAATTTTAATTTTAGAAATTAGAAATGTAGAAGACGTCGAAAAATTAAAAAAAAAAACGCCTTCTTGTCTTTTAGAATTCAGTGAAAGTAATATTCAATTGAAATTTTTTGTTTTATTGCATAGATCTGGGGGCAACAGTAAATGTTTACACAAACGGATTTCATGTCAACTTGATTTATGCAACATTGAAAACTGTCTTTTAAAAAATAAATTTAAATGAGGTTAAATTTCCATAAATAAGTGATACTTTGATAAAAGAGATATTTAATTTACAGTTTAAAACAGATAAATTGAAAAACGTCGATATTTCTTTGACGAACAAAATTTTTCTTATTTGAAAAGGATTCAAAGTAAAGAAAAATTATGCATTATTTAATAAAATGATGTTCGACGCTATTTCTAATGAACATTGTAGATTTCAATGAATTCAATGAAATAACATATTATGTTAATTTTAGAATTAGTCTTATTTTGCAGTAACCGGGTAAGCAGGCAATAATAACAATAATTCGTGCTCTCTCAATAATTTTCTTGTAAATAAAGAAAACTTCTTCATACAACTGCAACAGAACAAAGTTGTATAGCATAGCCAGAAAGAATGACTTAAAACAGAAAATTTAAAAAAATTTTCTCGACAAATCAGACTTGAACCAGTGACCTATTGCTTTCTTATATAGGCAGACACTTACAGAGTTAAGCTATACAGAATTATACTTTTCTTAATGGAATCAATATTTTTTTTTTTCTAAAAACAATTAATTTTATAGTATATTTTATACTCGTATAATAACCCGTAACACAATATAGTATAACTGTTCACTTTTCTTTGAATTCATATCAAATTTCTTGTAAAGTCCAAACATATAGTATATCTAGTGTAAATATCTAAAATTCACTAGAGAAATATTTTTACAAAAAAAAAATTTGTTTTTTTAAATTTAAGGACAAACAATTGTTACAATTCGTATACAATATGCTTTTAAAAAACTAAACAATTTATGTATGCAAGTATAGACTTTTAAATAAAGAGAAAAGATGATAACACACTTGTACTCTTAATCTTAAATTTAAAATAACAAAAAAAAAATAATAATTATTAAATTGCATTCAATTTAAAACTTTAAATACACACAATGAAATAATAACAAGAAAAATATAACAATAATAATTACAAGAAAATTGAGAATTGAGAACAAATTGTCGAAAGTGAAAATAAACCAGAACCAGAGTACATATTTGATTTATCTCTGAGTAAGTATTATTATATTTTTTTTATTATTAAAATATTTCTTATTCATAAAATACAATATATTTGTCCCTTAATTACCGCACCATATAATAAAAAAAAAATAATAATAATAGACAAAAAATAACAAAACAAAAAAAAAACCCACTTAAAATTTGTCAAAGAAATTATTTTCTAATTTACGAAATGATGACGACAAGAAGAGCATATAGTGCGAGAGAAGGGAGAGTAACAGATTTCAATCAAGAATATTTTCAAAAAAAAATTTACTTTGCAACTGTTATAACTTTATATAAGATAAAATATAAATATAAAATAAAAAAATAGAAAATATACCTATAAGAGTAAAAATTTCCCCCTTTTTGGTAATTTTTTTTTACCCATACTTGTTTTATATATGTATGTATGTACCTTATATAATAAAATAATAGTTTATGTCTCATAAAACTATAATATTAAACCCTAATCTTAAATAAGGACATTTGTACTTTTTTATGCTTATATAATAATAACAATAATGAAGTGGTGTACTTGCAAAAAAAAAAAAGAGAAAGAGAAAAAAAAAACTTGATTCCTTCTTATCGCGTAATCAAATCAGATCAGGATTTTTCACTTAAGTGTTTTCCTCTAGGTTTCACTTATTTTTTTTTCTATTCCTTTTTTTTTTTTTTTGAATTAATAGTAATATTTTATATTACCCTATTCAATTGTGTTACATATTTCTATTATAGGGTAAAAGAAACAAGAATAATAATAATAATAACTTGTTAACATCATATATAATTTTTATATAACATGCACATAGATGTCGTATTAGTAGATATAAATAATAATAATATAAAATAAATTTTAGATTAAGTATACATATATCTAAATTAATTGCATAGTAATAAGAATTTTCTTTTTTAAAAAATAAAATAATAATATGTGAGTAGGTGTAAGTATATGTTAACATATACACATGGATATATGTATGTGTGTAGGCAATAATAATATGTATGAAATAAATTTAGCATATAACAATTTTAGAAGAAAATCGAAATTTAAATTGTACAATTAATATTTAGAAATTAAGCTTTGACTCTTGTATATAATGTAGGGGCATATAGACGCTTAGGAGTTAAAACAATTTGAAATAACAAATGTCAGAAATTTACCAAGACGCTGGCATATATCAACTTAATATATATTGCAGTTAAATGGAATTCGTCTAAGAGAACTGTATAAAACATACTTCTTTAGCTTATAATTCGACTATAGGGGCCCGCACTGTAGTTTGTTAACAAACCTTATTATATCTGTTATTATATTTTGATCATATGAGATTTTAAAGAGATTATATTCGACTGCTTTTGAATTATTTTTCTTTCTGTTTTTGTATTTCTGCTGTGAGTACACACAAAAAAGTTTCTCACCTAAAACTCGATTGAACCTTATAAATTATGTTATATAATACAGATAGCTGTACACAAAATATAAATCACATTATTTAAGCTTTTATAATTTCATAGTTCTTAAAATGATTAAAATATGTAGAAATTTTATATAATTGTGAAAAAAAGAAATCTAATTTTCCTAAACCTAATTATATAGACAGGATGCTGTTTTTTGTGAATGATCAGCTGTTGTATTGTTTGCCACTAAATTTCTTTAAAGTTAATATTTAACTAATTGAATAAAATTCTTATTCTGTGTTATTTAACAATATTTCACTTTACTGACTATATAAAGCTAAAGATATATAGTGAAATTTCTAAATTTTTTTAAAATTTATTTCTATAAGTTCGGACAATAGCCTTAAAAACGGCATTTATTGCAATTATGTTTACTAAATATTGTTTATTGACATAAAAATAATAGGGCCATCCATACCATCTAAGGCTCGGAATAATCATTTTGCATATATATCGTTAAATGTATGTACTATATTCACCACAAGAATCAAAATTTTCAATTTATTTTTACACAATATACAATATATATGTATAAACTCAAAAAAACTAGACCTCAAATTTCAAATCATACATATTATGAAAAAGCCACACGTAAGCGAAATTATTCGCTGTGGTTTTACACATTATACATATATTTTATGTGCTTTTGCATATAGTATAACTAAAACATTTGTATTTAAAAATTATTTAAATAAGAAATCAGTGATTATGTGAAAGTAAGGAATTTTTAAATTTAAATTAGTTTATTAAAATATTAAATTTAATATTTTTAAAATTAATTTAAAAATATTTCAAATTTTTTGTTTTACTTTAATTGCAAAAAAGAAATTAATGTAGCTACTTGGGACAAAATTTGTCTTATTCGCAACAAATTAAATTTTCCATAATGTAATGGCAAATTTTGTGTTCCGAAACATTTTGGTTCGCGTCTTTGCTTAAAGAATTCAGCTGGAATTACGAATTTTTCAAAATTTTTGAATGGAATTCCCACTGTAATGAAAACATGTTAGAATTCCCCGAATTTAAATAAAATTTTGCTATATTACAAACTTAACGACGGAGAATTAAAATATTATACAACATTTCAAATTTATCTTCAATTTATACTATTACGATCTGGATAAAACTGATCGCAAATAATGATTTGCCGAGCTTGATTACTAACATTTGGTATACCACATTTGTTTTCTAAAACACTAGCATATTTGTTAGCAAATTCTCTTATTTCTTTTCACCTTTTATATAAAAAAAATATTGCACCCAATTGTGAAAAAATATTATACAACAAAAATTATTCACAATTATATTGATAAAAAAAAAATGAAAAAAAAAAATTGTTTTTTCACAAAAGAATTTCGATTTTAATACCAACTGCAATTAACTTTTACCCCCCTGTGATTATTACAAATGTATATACATATACGTGTTTTAATTCCAGTATGTTGAGTTCTAATCTTTTCAAGATTTCATGATGAGATTTATCGAAAAAAAAGAAAATATCATATGGACTAATAGCGCATGGTATACCATAGAGCCAATTTAAACAAATCTTATATAATCAATTGTTTGTTACAACATAGAATAAAAATTAACAAAAATAAATTTTTTTTTTAATTCAAAAAAGAAAGTATTTAAAATAAAAATTGCACATATGTAGACTTATTCAGTATTTTAATAGTTAACATTGTACAAATATAACAATGTTTCGATTAAAGATAAATATAAGGTGGACAATATCCAATAAAATGTTTAAACTTTTATGGAACTAGATTCCGGAAACTTTATGTAACAAATATTCTGTGCTATACATATATATAAATAAAAGAGATTTGATCAGTTTTAGAACTGCATCGTCAAGAGGAAGGCAAGTTAAAATCAAAAAAACTTTTTCACATGCTGACAATCAAAGATTATTCGGGAAGCCGAACACCACCCGATAAAAAACGAAGATGTTTTGTGAATTATGTTTAACGTTTTTTTTGAACTTCTTGTGAATTCAGAATTTTTTTTATTAAAGTTTTTTAATATCAATTGTAATTTTTTTGAGCATACGTATGACACCTTTCAGGCACAAGGAGAATATGTACAAGGAATATAGACTCCCTATCGCATTTGGACTATAATTCGTCTCTTCACTTAAAGGCAGACAATAATTAATTTATTAATAATTAAGGGTAACAATAATTGTGCTCAAGGCGTAATCAATTGTGTAGCAAGATCAAGATATTTGAATATTATATGCGTTAATTCGAAATGGTATAAGCAACCGATCAATTTTTTACTAATTCAATTTCGATATAGGATATTCTCACATAAAATATGAAAATGTATTACTAAATTCCGTCGGCTATAAATATGTAAGCAATTAGTTTGTAAATTTGCAAAGCAATTTAAAGTTATTTTCAATATTAATGATAAAACTTCAAATTTTTTGACAAATACAATGACAGTATAATGGCAATATTTAACACATTCTTGACAATTACATGACAATTACATAATATAATATTGATGTATAGTATAGTATATAACTTAATATAAAAATTTATGGTTCAATAAAAACACCCGCACTTAGTCAAGATTTTGAGAGAGGAATTGAATTTTATTTAACCCGTCGCGAACTGACGACGGACTACAATGAATCCAATTTAAGTATGCAGATGGCATTGTTGAAATTTTTCATGATTACAATCATATGACAAATACCGTAACATAACAGTTGCATTAAAAAAAAAATAACACACCATACATATTTATGTAAAAACATAAATGATTGTTAACAAAATAAAATTCTCTAAAACTTAATTTTCAAACTTACTTGTATTCGTGCTTCATTTAGTTTCGTTGTTCTTGCTAATTCTTCTCTGCAATAAATATCTGGATAATGTGATTTTGCAAATGCTGCTTCTAATTCGGCTAATTGTTCCTGTACATATGTATATGTAATAAATATGCATATTAAATAATGTATAAGCTTATATTTGTATATTATTATTAAATTTAAAAAATTTAATTTTACAATAATTTATTAATTATGGCATTTAAAGCAAATGTTATGGATTAAAATAATTTTCTAAATTATATTTTTTGAATAAAATATCAAAAATACATTAAAGACTTATTTATAGAAGAAAGCTACTTGTATATAAATTATTGTTATACAGTTATATAACGTGTATAAGTTAATATATATGTGTATATATGATTAACCTGAGTAAAAGTTGTTCTATGTCTTCTTCTTGCCGGTGTTGGACATGATGCTGTTGTTGGTGTATGACCAGCATGTTGACTTAATGATGAAACTCCACTTCCTGGTGATGTAACACCACCGGAAACCGATGAAATTCCACTATTAGGTTCTGGTTTTAATTTTTTAAATGCTCCTTCCGCTAAAAATGTGTAAATAATTTGTAAAAATATGAACATGTTTTTTTTAATATAATTTTTTTATATTTATTATATATGTACATAATATAACAGTTATGAATACATGTATATTTATTGTTCATAATATTCAAATTTGAAAATTCACTATATATTTATACGTTGTGGAAACAAATTTTGTCTTATGCATATAAAATGTTACTTAATATTTTCTTAACCGGATATGAAAGAAAATTTAATTTGCAAAGATTTTGTAAAAAGTAAAAAATATAAAAAAAAAAAATTAAGTGAATGTCCGGTTAAGCATTCTTTTATAAATAATCCTAACTTCTACGAGTATGTAGAAAAGTTGTTGAAAGTCTTATAAACTACAATCTCCTTGTATTTTTTCAAATTTTATGAATTAATGAATGAAAAAGTATTTACTAAGACAGCTATTAATAAACTTTTCTCTCTATTTTCCATTTTTCAATATTATTCTTTTCCATACAGCCTTTGTTAATCAGACATAGCCTTTTCGACACAACCTTTGATAACTTAAATATTGACAGAGGCATTGTTAACCCGAACTCTTCTGTATCGGGCTACATACAAGTCTTCTACAGCATTAAATATGGGTATACTGTCGAGTCACTGTAAAACCACAGAACAACTTAGGAAAGCAAGGTATCGCACACTTTGTAAGGAAGCGATTAAGAACTTAAAATATCTCTTGAGAGAATGTATTGCAAATGGCAGCCAAGAAAGAAGAAAAAATTCTTGTAAATTTTGTGCTTTTACGGTAGAGCGGGATTGCATTCCTTCCGGCCTAGCCAGCGGGCTGTCTATGTTTTTTTAATAAATGACAAAATCCTTAATATTTCTATTTAAATTTTTTCTTTAAAATTTTAATCTTATAGTTATAAAATGCTTTCCTTTTAATATAAGAGCCCCCAATTACCCTACAATATTATTTAAACTGTTATACACTTTTAAATGGGTTGTGATGATGGCTTAATCTATTAAATTTCCAGATGTTTTTAATAATATTCATTTTTATTTTCAATATAATTCAAAACTATTTATATTCAATTTTAAAAGTTCTATTTGGATTTATAAATTTTAATAATTTTAAATTTTTACAATTTTCATTTGTAAAATGACCAAATTGTGGTCAAAATTTGTTTTTAATAATAATATCATTGAAATTTTTTTTTTGTATTAATAATACCTTTACGTATAATGAATAGTTATTTGAATATCGTAAAAAAATATTCTGGCGATAATTTGGCTTTCAATTTAATCTCTAGTCTCACTAGATATAGACTTGAAACGCTCTCACATACTCATACTATCAATGAATGTATATTACACATGCACTCAAATATCCTACCTTCGTCTTAATGCACTCAAATTCTTGAATTATAATCAACTCATTCGAGAAACCAAAATTATAAAATACATAAATATACCGGCCTATATGACAAAGTACTAGCAGAATAAGAATAAAAAAATAAAGGATTTAATTCTTTTTAATATTCAATAATAGAATAGACAATAATTACAATTCACACATCTGTTATGGGATAAAACTCTTAAAATACAAAACTCTTTATGGTGAATTATTGACGGTGATTTACCCTGAAATTCAATATACACACCATATAACTTTAATCTTCTATAATGGCATATTTTTGCAAGGTGCTTTGTATAATATCAAAAAATATCTTCTCTTTTACGCCTTTAAAAATCGCTATATAAATATTGTATTCCTACATGGCTATCTATAAATTTTCAACAAAAATAATTACTTGAATTAATCAACCCGTTTTTAAAAATAAAATCCTTAAACAGATTTTTTTTTTATGTATACATTTACCAATATTTACATTTTTAATACCTTTTGAATATAATAATAAATGTCAACTACTATGTTCTATATTTAATGCCATTCATTTATGTTTGTGTATGGAATAAGTGTTATAAATTCTTAGAAAATTTCTAATATTCCCCCTCTTCTTTTTTTAATATACATATATGGCAATATAAAATTTTATTTATACAAAAGTATCATATTATTATATTTGTCAGCCGGCACGCGTCAAGGATTAATTTTATAACAAAATAATTAAATAGCCCTTTTTTTTTCTTTGGTATATATATTGTTGGTATACATGTGTATATCAACAATATAATTGAACACAGAGTACAATTATACTCGACACTATAATAGTGGCGGATTTCTTAACCATATTATAATAATAAACATTAAAATATTTGAACTTTGATTTTATTTGTAGAATAATAATAAAAAGAAAAGCGATTAGTATAACACTTAAAGGTATTTATATAGATAATCTTAAGACAAATAATAAAATATTATACGCAAATAGATCACAAAATTTATAATATTAGATTTTGACTTATTTTTGTGTAAATTAGAAATTAAGTGGTTTTTAAATTATTTTGAAATAAATATAAATATCGAAATAATATACAAATATCGAAATATAATTTCGTTAATAACGCATATAACACTTATATAGTATTGTCCCTTTCTGTGAATATTAAATTTACTTCGTTCGTTTTAAAGGAATATATCATGCAAAAATCTAAAAATTTACAAAACTACCATTTACATTAGCGCCTATATACAAAGTAATATAGTTATGCGCATTTATTCCGATAGATGTCATCATACTTTTATATTGAAACTATAACAGTAAAATTTGTAATATATATGAATTTTTTGGGTTATTTTTCCTCTAACATGTATAACGAGGTTTTCATAAAAAACCGTATTCCATTTATAAATAGCACCCAACTATTCCGTAGTCAATCTGCTATAAAAGTGTTATACTGTTATATTAATGTAATAGGAACGCACAAAACATAAACCTATAAGTAATTAGGTGTGAAACACTTTTCAATTACATCAACGTATACAAAAGCGTAATTGAGAGAAATTATTACACACATTTATTCCGGTAGATGGCTTTCTCATACATCTAGAGTCCCATACATTTATTCCGGTAGAAATTTTTGTATGGGACTCTCTCAACTATATCTTTTAAATGGTCGAACCTAATTAAAAGTGTTATACACCAGAAATTATTATACATTTGTCTAGACTCTAGAGTATTTGTAAATTATTAAAAGGATCGGCTATTTAAATATTATCGTATAACACTTTGTATACTTATACATATGTACTGATAGAAAATATACTGATTTAATGATAATTTAAATTAATTACATCCGTATAATATTTATAAAATATATATTTTTGTTTTCATCAAAAATTTTTATGTTTTCTTTTTTTTTTGTTTTAAGAATTTACATTTAAAATTAGTTTAACGTATAACAGAGCAGCACTCTAAACATTCATAATGTTATATAGAAAACACCTTTACGAAATTCTTATATAGAAAACACCTTTACGAACAACAAAGAAGGAAAAACAAAATTATTTTAAGCGCAAGGACATTCGCGTTAATTATATATATAATCATAATTCATTTAAAATTTAATAGAATCCCGGTTAAATTATCTGAAAAAATGAGTCCTTTCATGTGGCATCAGTCACTCTTAATTATATTTTAAGTATTTAACGATATAGTCGAAAAATATTCAAATTTCTTCCTCATTTTTCTTTCTGTTTTGTTAATTTTTCATTTTTAATATTTTGTATTTTTTTTTTTTTAATAAAACCCACACTTTAATAATATAAATTTTAGTGTCCTTATTTTAAGGCTATTTAAAATTCTTTTACGAAAAATTTACATAAATTATCCCAAACTGCATATTTATTCGGTTGCTTATTTTATAACTAAAAAATATTTCAAATTCCTCTATGTATATTAAATACGAAGGATTTAAAAGCATCCTTTTTGTATGATGTTTTGAACGAAAATAAATAACTATATAATGCTTGCTTTTTTTTGTTAATTTTTGTTTTTTAGCACCTTTTATTTGATAATAGCTATTTTAATAGTTATTCTTTGTGTTCCATTTAAAAGTGTATAATACTTTGAATTTTCAGCATTACAGGTATTGTATAACACTACCTTATAAACAAAGCAGCTTGTTACAGAAGAATATTTAAGACAAACATGGCTACTCACATTGATTCCGGTATATGGCTTCATATTTTTAAATCGCAAAATGAATAATAACATAATTTAGAGGTTTTATGATTTTTATATATAGGAAGGCTGATAGAAATTCCGTACAAAACTCTATTCCATTCATAAACTACTTTCAATTGCTTCGATGTACTCCCAGGCCCTTGGGAGTATTATGTATTGTACTGTGAAAGAGGCGGAACTAAGTTATTTCGATAAGTTATTCCGGTGTACTTTAGAGTCTTATATACTATCAAATGGAACACAAGAATTAATTAAAATTATGTGCATAAGGCACGAATATGTGAAAATTTATTAATTAATCTTTTATACATAATTGAAATCGTTATACTTTTAACATTTACTTAATTTTATAATTTTACAAATGATCACAAAATTTAAATTTAAGTTGTTATATAAAAATAATTAGTAAACGTTTTGCATTTGGATAAAGATTTAAGATATTTTAGTATCAAACTGAGATCAGTTGTGCTTAAAGAATTTTAATTAAATAATTTTGGATTCCAGCACAAACTATTAATTTAAACATACCATGAGAAACCTTTAAATTGTGCTATAAAGTGTATAAAGTGGTGTAGAAAGCTTTATGTAGAGACAGTATTTAAGGTAGGAGTTATGAATTCTAATATAAAAGCGCTTTTCCAAGAAATATAGAGAACAGCAGTGTTGTATGCAAATTTGGTAACCCTGTTGGTAACAGTTTATAAGAGCTGTTATGATAAGATCCAACAACTGAAATAAAATCTCTTCCGACTAACTTCTGAAGATTTCGGGGAAAATCGCTTTGATTTTTATAAGTTGCAATTAAATTCCAGTAAAATAGTGGTTTATGAGTTGCAATTGATTAATTATAAATTAATACCGCGGTCTATTCGACTTTCTATTCGAAATCAGAGTTGATTGCTTCTCAATTTAAAAATAGATTTAAGAAAATATTTTTAATTATATAATAAAATTTTTACCTGATAACGAATGATCTGATAATCTTGTTGGTGGTGTATGGGCTGGTGTATGATGATGTGATGATGAATCCATTCCAGGTGTTGGTAAACCAGAATAAAGTGCACTAAAATCTTCTGGTGTACTACTACATTTTCTTTGATTAACACCACCTAATGATGTTTTATCAATTGATGATATCGGTGTTCGACTATCTTGTGATGATTGTGATGCTAAACCTAATAAACGATTTTCATGTGATGTTATACCCATTAAACGATTATCTTGAAATGACATAAATTTTGTATCCTGTCCACCATGTTGTAAATTACCATGTGTTAATGCATGATCTTCTAATAAACCTTGTTGTAATCCTAAAAGGCCACCAACTAAATTTGGGCGTAATTCATCCATTAATTTACCTTGTCCACAAGAACTAGCTGCTGTCGAAAAATTCAATTGACGACTAAATATCGCTGGAAATATATTAAATTGTTGTGAATCAACACTAGATTGTGGGCTTAATCCTAAATTTGTTGTATTATGATGATGTGAACCTATTAAACCAGCAGAATTGATTGATGGTATTGATGTTGGATTATGATGATTATTATTATTACTATTATTATTATTATGATGATGATGATTATTATGATTATTATTACTGGTGTTATTTGTTAATGAATTATTTGTTGTTGTTCCAGTACCAGAATTTTGTGCATTACTACCACCAGTTCCACTACTACTTGGACCGTTACTAATCAATGAATTTGGACCATTACTTGTTCCACCACCACCGGGTACACCACTACCTGGTCCACCACCGCCACCGCCGCCGGGTACTCCACCACTATTTGTTGTTGTTCCGTGTCCAGTGTTATGATGATTGCCGACGACGCCACCACCATTCCCAGTGCCGCCGGCACAATTGTGTTGTTTGAAATCCAATTTGGAACAAAATGGATTCCGAATGAACGCTTCGAAAATAATGACGGATTTTTAATATACTTTTAGAATAAAAATTTTTCTTTTGGGTTTTTTTATTGTTTATTTATTTTTATGCACTTTAATTATTTTACTTATATTTGAAAAAGAAAGTAAATTTTTTTATTAATAATTTTGATTTATTCTTCTTAATTTAAAATTAATTAAATTGACATCATCTAGTGAAACTAAACGAATAAAAATAAAATTTTTTAAAAATCAAAGTTTTATGTTAAAATTAAAATTCGAAATTCATGAATTTTTTGTAAGAAAATTATTTTCAACATAAAAAAATAGGTACTAGATTAAATTTAGAATCGCCAATTGAAATTAAAAACTATTCAATAACTTAGATGAAACTTAAATGTTCAGGCTTAGTACTAGTGAAGTATCTAGTTAAAATAAATCACAGTTATAAAAAAGTGAGTCAATAAAACCATGGTAGAAAATTAAAGAAAGCTATGGAAGCTAATATTTTGCTTAAAATTGCGTGAATTCAGATAACCAAGTAAAACATAAATTTAATTCAAACTAAATTTTATACAGAGACCACAATTGAAAAAAGTCCCCCACTTCTGCAATTTCCCTCCACTTTCTTTGATTTTCCTTTTTTATGTTTTACATAAATTGCTAGAAACGAGAATTATATAAATATTCGAGTTACACAGAGTATTTCTAAATGAAGTAATACTAGAATAAAACTGAATTATCAAAAATAGACCGTATATTGTGGCTAAAAAAAACACATTAAAAGTTTTAGAAATTTTTCATAGTTTAAATTTTAATTTAAATTTTTAAAACTCACACCCGATTTTTGTGGAAAAACATATATAAACAAATCGGTATTTGGACATTTTTTTTCAGATTATCTATAGGAGTATTCAATTAAAATTGAAAGAGCGAAAGCTCTAGTTGAATTGGAATCGAATTAACAATTTACTGCTTTATGTAACAAATAACCGCAATATAATATTTACCGCTTTATGTAACAACTGGTTTACAGAGATATAAACAAATTATCGGCAATTACATTTTCGTAGGGAACAAACCGGAAAAGAATATAGCAACTCAAGTAAGCAGCTATTAGTGACAAGTAAATACCGGGATGGATATGATGTAATCAATGAAACAATTTTCAATAGTTACTGACACATTATTTTTTATAATTAAGCATATTAGTATTAAGAGTCCTGCGTTTAAGGCTAGCTAAAAACATTATTAAAATATAGACAGTAATAATTACTTACGGCGCGGATCTATATAGAATAATCAGAAATATCATTCGAAAACCTAATGATTTCGAATAATTTTATAACTAATTTTTGTTTTATTCCAAATTTTCATTATAATAATTTGGAAATTTTTAATTAAGTAATTAAAATATTGAGATAATTAAATTTATTAATAATGACAATGTTTATGTTAATAATGACGATAATTACATTTGTTATTCTACAACAAATATTTTTTTCACTATATTAATAAAACATGACCAAAAACAAAAAGGATTATCCACATTTAATTTTAATATTCACCTTTTATGTAAAAATAGTTTTGGTTTTTTCTCTTTTTGTTTTTCAAATGTAATAATTAGGATTAATGCATATTACATGTACACAAACATTTAATTACTAATACACTATTTCCTATACTTTTTTTATTAAATTGAAATCACATTTATTTTTCAAATACAATTAAAATGAAAAAAAACAAAAGCTACAGAAAAAAAAGTTAATAATGAAAATTTTTCTTTTAATCCGTTTATAATTAATTAATTTTATTATTATTATTTACTATTTTTTATCCTTGTTTGTATGTGTGTATACAATAATATCACAAATAATAATAGTATAATAGTTATATTACACTCAATTCTTTCATATATATTATGATGGCTAACACACTGATATAGTTAACAAATTATACTATCAATTTTACACTAATTAATCAAATTAATTGAATTTGGTTTTTTTAATAATTTACTTCGATATTATCGTATATGATTTATTATATATATTTATTTTTTTTTTATTAAATAATTTGAATTTTTTTTATTTTAATTAAATTACTATATATGTAATTCTGTAAAGATAATCCAGATATAATAATGAAACAAAAATTGTTGTCTTATTGGAAAAAAAATAAGCATAATAATTAATATATTTATTATATGTTAATTATAATTATGATTTTAGATCTGGTATTTCTATTAAATTCTATGAAAATATTATGTTAAATGATAATTATGTTAATTATTATAAAATGAGTAATAAAAACAATAGCATTATAATATATAATAACCATAATAATTATAATAATGATAATTATGATAATAAAAATAGCAATCACAATAATTAACATAATAATGGTAATAATTACAATAAGAACAATAATATTAACAATAATAATAACGATAATAATCACAAAATGATAGTTAAACAATATTAATAATGATAATTAACAATAGTAATAATGATTATAATTATTAATTATAATAATGATGAAAACGATGTAATAATGAATATAATTTTATGATTAACATTTCACCAACTTAATGAATATCCATAAAATATAGTGGTAGTATAATATTTAGCATCTTAAATTGTCAAATTACAGCTTACTGCATTACTACTTTGTACTGACATTACTATAGTAATTTTGAAAAACAGAAAATATTGGATTGAATTAAACATATATATATAAGGAAAACCGGTAAGTACAGGTGCATCCCAATGAATTTGAGTCATTGAAAAATAAATGTATTTAATAAAAAAATGCCGACGAATGATCAACAGAAATGCTAACTACATCGACGGGGAAACAAGATTTTAAATTAGAAGAGAGCTTCATATGGCGGCCAAACCAGTCAAACATGAATCAGTCAAACTGGAACTCGGAAAAAAAGAGAAACTTAAATGTAATGGAAGGAACTAAAATGTAATTATATACATAAGTACATTACCGAAAGTTTATTGGACATATATGGCAGGGAACAGAAATTTTCAACTTACGATCATCATTCAACTAAATTGTTAAGTGACAAACAAAACAAATGCAAAGCACCCCCCGTCCGCCCAGAGTGTATTTGACAGTTTTACTCTGTAGTAATATGACAGTTTTACTCTGTACTAATTTCATAGCGTATTCGAAATTCGAGTGACATAGAGAATTATATATTTGAAAATCTAATCCAAATTTTAGAAAACTTATTAAATCTAGTGAAAGTGTTTAATTTGTATCTTAAAATGAGGTATCAGGTGAGTGAGAAGTGAAATACGTATCAGATGAGTGAGAATCTTAAAAAAATGAGTGAGTATTATCATATTTTATATTCTATATTGCATAATGTATAAATGTGAAAAGTGGAATGTCAAATATAAAAAATGATCATAATTTCAAATTTTTAGCGAACAGTTATGATGTTGTTTGAATTGTATAGCAGAATAGTATATATGTATATATAAATATAATATAACGGTATTTTTCAAATTTTAACATAATTATTATTAAAATTATAACATAATAATTATAAAAAGTATAATACAATATTAGATAATAATGATGTCATAATTATGTCATAAAATATTAATAATAAAATATCGAATTATTAAATTAATATTATATAAGGATTAGCTTAAAATATTTCATTATTATAAATGTTAAATCATAATTATTAAACTGTTATATTAATTATAAAAAATATTATTATATTGCTATAGCAGTGATTTCTTATTTTTATATTTTTATTCTTATTTTAATTATCGTTATTATCATTATAATTCTGTTATTATTATATATAATTTTACTCATTTTTATTATATTTTATGTACTTTTTTTGTTTAATATAATAATATTACAATAAGTTTATTATTAACATAATTCAAAATTATTTGTAATAAGTTTAAAATCCGATCATATGTTCATATTTTCATTATATTTTAAGTTTAAAGTTGTTATATATTTTTTAATATTGATTTATCATGTCTATATATTAATATTAATATATTATTGTAAATTGTTTATTAATATTATTATAATTAATATAACAATATTAAAAAACAAATTGTGTTATTATTAATTTATTAATATTCTTAATTATTATTACATTTTAAAATATTTTTTAGCATATTTATAATTTTATATTTCATGTTTTACTTATTTAATGAAAATTAATTTCTGTTTATACTTTATATATGTATAAGAATATATAAGAATATATAGGTCTATATAGGATTATATTAATATTTTTCATATTTATTTATTACAATATTAAATTATATATTAAATTATAAATTAAGTAAAGCAAATAACATAAAAAAAGAATAAGAATTTAAACGAGTAGTAAAATCATAAAAAAAATATGAAAATGAAGAAATAAAAAATGTTATCCTTGTCTAGTATTTTAGAAATTTGATATGATTTCTTCCGCAATATAATAATATTATATTTTTTTTTCCTGTTTTTTTTTTATGAATATATTAATGTATTATATTTCATTTTATTTACAATATTATATGAGTAAATAAATATATATAGTATTTATATATTATAAATATATAAATAAAAATATTTCTAATATATTTATAAATATAATATATATATATATATATATATATATATATATATATATATATATATATGTGATATATATATCATATATATATGTACAATTTGTATAACTAACACCTATAACACCTATAAGTATGCAGACAATTATTATTATATAAAAAAAATTATTTTTTTTTTATGTTGAATATTTTCTTTCTTGTTTTTTCTCTTACATATTTGGGTTAGAATTTTACTTTCTTCTTGTTTTTTTTTTTTTTGCTTTTATTTTTTATTTTCTCTTTCGAAAATTAATTTAATTAAGAGAATTATTAAATTTTGATTTTACATATGTTTTGATGTTATTTTATTTTCAATACTACCACCAGAAAAAAAATAAAAATAATGTTGAATCCTTTTTTAATATTATCCCTTATTTTTGTATATATTATTTTCAATATTTTTTTAATCACTTTCTATATAATTTTTATATTATCACTACATTTTCTTCATTTTAAAAACCAACTTTATTTTAGTTTATTAAACTTGTATTATTTACCAATAATATTTAAATTACAATAATAATTGTTTTGTTCCTTTGAAATGAAAAGGAAAAAATTTAATTATATAAATTCCAATTTCAATATATATATGTATATATATGCATGTACTTATATTTCTGGTATATATGTTTATATAATATGATATTGTACATTAATTATAATGTCCCACAAAATATTTAGTTTTTTTTTTCTTCCTAATAAAAGTTAATTACTTAATGTAAATAATATTATTACAAGCCTATTTTAATTTTATATTTATATATATATATATAATAATATTAATTATATATATATAATATTTATATATATAATATGATAAATCATCGTATATGATGTATATATATATATATATATGTATGTAGTTAAAATAATTATTTGAAACAAAAAAAATTGCTTCGTACGTATTCGCGGCCGATCAAACTTAAAATGATATAAGAAAGTTTTTTACCCCAGAATAAAAATAATAATAATAACGAAATTAAGAGATCATGTGCAGCATCATGCTCCTGCTGTTATATTAATGGTTCTTTATTACATATATTAAATATTTTCATATTTATGTATGTATGTATGTATGTACATATTTTAGAAAATAATATTTATTCCATGTGAGAAAATTCGAATAGAATAATGAAACAAGAATAGATTTGCATGTATTTTTTGTTTCACATTATTTACGCACACATATACAACAAAATAAAATATAATTTTTTTGTAGTTTTTTTTTTTTCATTTTAATGTTGTATGCTGTTTTTTTGTTTGTTGTTAGTGTTATTTGTTTTTTTTTTTTCTGTTATTTGCAAAAAGAAAAGTAAAAATTTTAAAATCAACAAAAATATTATGAAATTTTATTTGAATGTATTAATACATACATATATATATACGAATAATATATACATATATGTTAATATAAATTATATATTTGTATGTATTGAAATTAATCTATGTATTTTATGCCATTTATTGTATTTTTTAAAGGATATATTTTTTTCAGTAAAGTTTCCATAGAGTAGTTTCGATTAAATATGATTAAAAACGGAGTATTTATGGTAAGAATAAATTATTTTTAATGAGTGCTGAAACGTATATACGAAATTCTATTGAAGACTTCCACAGAGCGAATGAAATTTCTGTGTTTAGAAATTGGTTACCTCAATGAAATCATGAATTTTAAGTAAGGAGGATCCAAAATTTTCATTATGGCTGCTGTATTCGACGAACCTAGCAGCAGTTAACACCTAGAGATCATTACGCTGGGAGCTTTATTAACAACATTAAGCAACATATTACTCTCCTTATAAGAACAACTGATTATTTTATACAAATCCCAAGAGACTTTTTTTGATAAGATTGCCTAATATTCGGTAATGCCTTGAAGCCGTTTTACTCAAGAGGCAGTAATCTATAAAAGTTCCAACTGCAATACTGATATATTTTCTTCTTAAAGACTACAAAACCGCTGTTTAACCTCATTTTTAGCTTGTTTCGTTGTCTATCTTACACCGATGCCCCCTTAACACCAAAAACGCCTAACGGTCGATTTCACGGTTTTTTTGTTATGCCAGTCGCCAGTCTGACTTCTCATTAACTACCGCATTACCGAATAACTAGGAATTCAATACAGAGCAACCTAGCAAGACTTACGAAACAATCACAAACCGACTCTGTATTGTCATACCAAAAACAAGCAATTTAATAATGAAAGAATCAAAGACGGCCCTTTATTACAGAGGGTACACTATCAATTTTTAAAAGCATGTACGTAGGTTTAAGTCGTGCCAATTAAGTGTTCAATTTAAGGCATTTACCGCTGAAACTCAGAATTAATGTTAAAAATATTAAGTACTTCTAATTAAAAATTTTAAAAGTAAAATATCAAAATGAAAAAGTTTGATGTTATTCACCGCTTTGAAATTTGATATTGACGATAAAATTTCATATAAATAAAGAATTTCCAAAAAACTCATTTCAAGGAAACAAAATTTTTCATTTATATGTATACAAGTTCTTTTGAAAACTGTTATATACAAAAATTGTATAACTATATACATAAAATTTTTTTTTATTTGTTTGCTAGTATAGTGGTATAAAATATCCACTTGTCTCGTTTACTCCTGTTTTGGTTGGTCAATTAATTTATTATTGTTTCTATACTTTCATTTTCTCGCAACCACCCATTTGTTATATTCATTCTTTATAGTTTTGATAACATAAAGATTGCGTATCATTATATTTTGTTATCATTAAAAAAAAAATCATAAAAAATAAGCAAAATAAATAAAAAAAGTATGGTTTTCTTTACTAGATTCTCTGGCTACAAGCTCTAAAATCTGATGCTCTTTAATATTGAATAAGTTTTGTTTTTTTTTTTTTTAGACTTGTGAAACATCCAGAGCAAGAACTTCGAAACAACATAACAAGGAAAACATAATAAAAATGAAAAATATTCCTGCGGAAAGCAATGGATGTAGGTTTTTACTTGTACATAATTACGATTTGAAAAATATTTACAATGAATATATATATATGGATATATA